AGAAAGAAAGAAAGAAAGAAAGAAAGAAAGAAAGAAAGAAAGAAAGAGAAAAATAGGGCCCTGAACACAGGTTGCTTCGATCCTTGAACGAACTGGGACTACTTCCAACACCATCTTCTACCAATAAATTCAATAAATTCATTTCCTTCTGCGTTTCTCAGATGGCCAGTCATCTGTAGATGGTAGAAGCAAATTCCCTTTAAACATGTGGGTCTTTCACCTGGTGAAAACGTAAGGATTAGGAAAAAAAATTACCTACTTTCAGTATTGCTTTAGGGAGATCTGAAACATTTTAGATTATTGGTTCAAGGAAGCCAGAGACATCAAAGGTGTGCACCACTTCTTCTGTCTAGGACATTGTGCAAGTATGAAAGCCCTGTGGTGCTGCCCAAGAGACCAGGAACTCCACTCAGAAAATCTGAAGTCCCAACAAATACTCACGAGCTTTGGGCTGGGGGCCACCTCCTTGCCCACACTCAGCCACACCTGCTTTGTAAGGGGTCTGACAAAGCACGCATGGAATAAAAGAACCTCAAGTTATAAGGGCAGCAAAGACAGCAGTGGAATCTGTGAGAATAAACAGAGAAGCAAACTCTAAACCCTGAAGGTACTCCATTAGGTAGTGCCGTTTAAAACGCAAAAGTGGGCTTGTGACTCATCTGGGGTCCTAGTGGAGAACAGACATGTAGGGGCTACACTACTGCTCTCCCTGTAGTGACTCCCCCTCGTGGTGTGAGTCTAAAATGACACTTAGTGAAGCATTGTCAACCAAAGTCCTCAACAATGTCTCTAGTTCAGGGCTGTCATAGACTCCCCACCCCTACCAAGAGGAATTCTGTTCTCATAGAATAGTGCTAGAATAAGGGGGCATTTTGGGGTGCCTTCAGGTGGTATGAGAGTCTGAGGAAGCCCCCCCAAAAAAATAACATGTGAGGTTAAGATATCATAAGGACTGCAATATTCAGCCAAGGGTCACAAAAGATATGTTCTACACTTCTAAACGTGTCTCTCAACCTGGACGTGTCATATTTACAGGAAGCAGGCAGGCTTGGGTCCACCTGAGTTCGAAGGGATGAATAAAGAGGTATAATCCTAAGAGTTCAATGGCATCAAACTGGGACCACAGCTTCTCTATGTAAGTCAAGTGAAACCCGGGGTGGCAAGAGAACCTTCATCCGCGCCCCTCCCCCTCCTGCTTTCCTGATCTCATTAGAGACTGCACGTGGCTCGGAGGGGTCAGATCAGAGGACTAGACAAAGCACACGTGTGATTCTAACTGGATGCAGAATGCGTTAAAGGGAGTTGACTAAGCAGGTCTGCCTCCAGAGTTCACTGGAACCTGTGAACACTTGCTGAAAATCAGAGGCCACTTCGCCCCCTGCAGGACACCAGAATATTACCGCCCCTTCCTCTGTAAACCCAGACAAGCTCCCCTTCTTCTCTCTGAGCATCTCTCAAGCATATGGGGGGGAAAGAGGAGGAATCCCGTCAAGAAGCCAGATGTGCGAGCCAACCAGATGTGCGAGCCAACCCATAGCAAACATCTGGTTGCTTGGCTGACAGTTCGTGCCTCAGTCTCTGGAAATAGGTTGTCTGTCCCATCCCTGCCCCACTTCATGAAGTGAAGATGGCCTCACCATAAAGCACAAATTTGTTCCACACGTTCGGTGATACTAGAGACAGGGTGGGAATCCTCATGGGGACACAGAGTAACTCACAGAAAATTCTTTAAAATGCCTATTTTCAAATTGGTCCCTTACACATTATGGAGAGTTGTATGTTTACAACACACTTGGCCTAAAAGAAATTCTGATTTGAAAATATACTGTTCGTCAATTTAATATGCCAAACATTCTTGTTTTGAAACGATACTACTTATTCATTTGATATGCTAAAGACTCTATTCTTCCCGATGAACTATCTCCTTAACAATGTGATACAAGTATCCCAGCAGTAGTGGCACATGTCTGTAATTGTAGTAGTTTGAGGCCAGTTTGGTCTACAGAGCAAGTTCCAGGACAGCCAGGACTACCCAGAGAAACTCTGTCTCAACAAAGCCAAAAACAAAACAAAGCAAAAACAAAACCACACGTGCACTCTTTGATTTTTGTATTAAATTACACTCATTCAACTGCCTTACCCAAAGCCATAAGCTGTTACCTTCAAAATTCAACGCAAAAGTCCTTTCATGTGTGGCTGCATAAAAGCCTACGCTCTGCCCTCCCTGAGTCCTTGAGACACTCCACTCAAAATACTAAACTCGCATCATTATAATTAGCACAAGGTTGGAGGAGTTTGACATCAATTCCAAAATATAATAACTCACTCACTCGCATTTTAAAAATACCACCTTGGGATTAATGAAAAGCAACTATGTTAAGTAAATGTTTGCCAAGCACGAGAAATGAACACCTAAGTGTTAAATAAATATTGCTTCTGAAAGCTACACCTGTAAGACAAACTTCAAAATATGTGTCCCATCCCAAAGTCTGTGGTCACATGCACAGTCCCTCACACCATCCCGTCACTGTCTGTTCAAAACTGCTGGGCATTCACACTTCAAAATGTCACTCGGACCATCATATTTTCCTACTCGGAGGACATCTGGTGGCAAAGTGAAAAACTAATATATAAATCTGTTTCCAGAGATTTTTTTTTCCACACTGTAACCCAAATAGCAAATCTGTTATTTATTGAGTCTCGCTTGTCACACGTACTCAGATCCTGCTCTCCTAGAACCCAAACTGTCTATAGAGTTCCCGACTGTGAAATATCAGCAGAATCTGGCCGGTTCATTAAGTCATTTCTGAATTTTTCATTGGCCTAACTGACATGTGTAAGTGAAGTTACATTTTTATGTTTAAATGGAACCGAACAATACGTTTCCATTTTCTGTTTTACTATCCCTGAGGAGATTTATTCTGAGAAAGCACTGGACATGTGTTTGTTGGGTAGGGCAGGGTTTCCTGACCCATCAGCCTCTGGGGTTCATGGCATTCTATAAGCCAGTAGTCCATGTGTGTCCAGGCTGCATAAAGCTATGACATACTGGGCTGTCTGTCCTTTTAAGGAGCAAAACCATACTGTTGTCATGCGGAGGCCAGAAAAAAAAAAAAAGAGCCCACACAGAATAAACAAAGGTTAGAAAGGAAAGTCATATGGGGCAGGGAGGATAGTGCCTAGTTGTAATCCCAGTGCTACACAGGCTAAATCAAGGTGGTCTTGAGTTCCAGACCATCCTGGCCACATAGTAAATCATGTTTCAAAATAAATAAATAAATAAAAATAAAAATCAGTATCATTGGCTTTTAGCTTTGAAAGAAGGACAAGACTATATACATACCAGTCTATCTACAGTCACTCACTCATTTAACAAATAGTGAAACGTCTACTGTGTGGCAGGCAGGGTCTTAAACTGAAGACACTCGAGAACTAGCCCACCTGTGGTCTAGATTGGGGACTGGACAATCAGAAACTACAGTGGGATGAGCAGTGTACCACAAATTGGCTGGGGATTTTATTCCAGGTGATACACCTATGCAAACAGTGTTTCGAAGTGTGCTACAAAGGGGACCTTAAAGATAGAATTAAAATTGTTAAACAGATGACTTAAAGACAAGACTTGTCCTGGATTATTCAAGGGGCCCAATAGAATTGCAAGAGTCTTTCAAAAGAGAAGACATCAAGAGAAAGGCATAGCCCAAGAGAGACTTGACTAGTCTCGCTGGCTTCAGAAGTGAAGTGGCAAGGAGTTAGAGAATGCAAGGGGCACAGCTAACAGGTATCAAGTTACCAGCGACCCCAGTCCTGATTGCTAATCATGTCAATAACCCAGAGGAACTTACAAACAGATTATCAGTCAGAGCCTACAGGTAAGAGCGCAGGACAGGGACCTGTTATCCTCAGCCTACTGGGACCTTTCCACTGAGA